TATCTTCTCTATTCATTGGTAAAGCTAGCTGGGGCTGGTGGGAGTTGGAGTCATCAGCAACTGGAAGGGGGGGGCGAAGGTTGTCCTGGATTGGGATCTCTTGGCTTCTCCTTAATAATAGGCTGTTCCTGCTTTTTTGATGGTGGTTGTGTTGCTAATAAAGCTTAGTGTGTGTGCCTTTTTTCTGTTTTCTGCTCTCTGTTTGCCGCCTTAAGGAGTAAGGAACGTGCTCCTTTTGAATGCAAGGGGCTCTTCCCTCCTTCTTCTAAATAAATTTATTTATTTGGTTTTCAAATTAAAATTTGACAATCACAAACATAAAGACAAGATTCCAGAGAATCTCCTGGACTTCCCTCCTCCCCTTTGTGGGTCCTATTTTTAATCATTTCCTCCTGCATCTTTTATAATCATCCAAATCTTTTACATCTTCATTATATCCAAAATTCACCTTTAACTCAACACACTTGGCTCCATAGGAAGCTGCCTCGCCCTGAACCAGACTGTTGGCTACAGTATTGTCTACACCAGGCTTCCACAACCTCAGGCCTCCAGATGTTTTGAGACTACAATTCCCATCATCCCAGACCACTGGTCCTGCTAGCTAGGGATCATGGGAGTTGTAGGCCAAAACATCTGGAGGCCGAGGTTGAGGAAGCCTGGCTACACTGACTGACAGCAGCTCTCCCGGGTTCCAGATTATTCTAGATCTGACTCTCATTCTGGAACTGGGGTTTTTTGCTCTCAGGGTAAAAGCAGGGAGAATATCCTTGTGTGCACCCTTCCCCTCTGTCTGGATGACTGAGATGGAAAGGGAAGATGCATTTTCTCTTTATTAAGACCTCCAGGAGAAAGAGAGCTAAGCTAGGAGTATCAAAATATTATATGGTTTACACACCATCCCAGGTGTGGCACATCCCATTTTGCCACTTGAGGCAAAACTGGAAAGTTCTGCCCAGCCGCCATCAGCAGAGAAATGGCACCAGCATTGGCACCGATCTCATAAACTCAGCATGATCTTATATGATTTGGGTAGGATTTCACTGGAAATCAGCACCAATGCCAGTGCCCCTTCTCCAGCAGTAGCAGAGAAGATAGGGCAGATGGAGTACCCATGGGACACTGCATCAGGGGCTTCTGTTACCTAATGGCTGGGCCGGCCCTGCACCACCTGTTGTGAGATTCAAGGGGTCCCAGGTGCTAACCCTGGTTCAGTTTCCTTGTAATGAAGGTCAGAAGAGACTGGTGTCTTCAGAATACAGTGGTACCTCAGGTTACATACGCTTCAGGTTACAGACTCCACTAACCCAGAAATAGTGCTTCAGGTTAAGAACTTTGCACAGCAGCAGCAGGAGGCCCCATTAACTAAAGTGGTGCTTCAGGTTAAGAACAGTTTCAGGTTAAGAACGGACCTCCGGAACGAATTAAGTACTTAACCCGAGGTACCACTGTATATGGTTTTACTGACACACATGTACAACCTGAGCATACCATGGAGATTGCATGTCATGAACTGGTTGGATGCAGAGGAGTGGGAGCAGGAACCAGCTGAGGAACCCCCAAGGGAAGAAAGGTCAGAGCCTGGGGATGTGAGTTGTCTGAGGGAGAAGACTGGGAGGAGAAGGTGTCAGAAGCTGAGGAGGCAACAGGGTATAGTGAGCAGGGAGAGTCTGGGGCAGAGAGAAGCCCAGAATCAGAGGCAGAAGCTGAAGCAGAGGAGAAAGAAGACCAAGAGGCAAAGATGAGTCAGGCTGCTGAAGAGTCACGATTGTCTTGCTGTGAAAACTCCCCTTCCCCCTGGTCTTCCAGAACCAGAAGAGGCATGAAAAGAGAGGAGGAGAGGTTCACTTCACACAGGCGCAGTCTCCGATTGCTGGAGAGGAGGGGACCCTAGATGGCTGTGGGGAGGCAGGGACTTCTGATCCATGAGGCAAGACCTACCTGGCATGACCTGCTGTGCTCATCAGGCCTGACTCTCCCTCAAGTCTGCATATCCTGTTCTTGCTAATAAAGAGTTAGCTCCAACTTGCACAGTGTGACTTGCTTGCTTCCTGACAGCACACAACATTAACACCCCAAGAGATCTTGCTTCTCCACTAGTCACAGTTTTGAATCTAGCACAGATCAAGCATGTCGATGCCTCCAGCTTCTAGCCTGTCTCCACTTCCCTGCAACTCTCTGGCTTTTGTTCTCCTGCCAGGTAGTTGGCAGATGGACGGATGTGGAGGAAAGGCCCACCCATTGGCCTAAAGAGCATCATCACTTAATTGTGGCTCTTGCAAGCTAGCTAACTCTTTTGGGATGCTGATGACAACACTTAAGTGGGAAGCTAAGGACTAAGGGATTAGTTTTAGTTTCCGGGTTACCTTCAAAGGTAGCCCCAAATGGCTTCCCCCAAAGAATTCTGGGAGCTGTGGTTTGTTGAGGGTGCCAGGACTTGTTAGGAGATTTCTAGGGTCCCACAGAGACCATATAGCACTGGTCCTGAAAGACCTTCAATGGCTCCCAGAACGTTTCCGAGTACAACTCAAAGTGTTGCTGCTGACCTTTAAAGCCCTAAATGGCCTCAGCCCTGAATACCTGAAGGAGCATCTCCACCCCCATCGTTCAGCCCGGACACTGAGGTCCAGCTTCGAGACCCTTTAGGCAGTTCCCTCACTGCAAGAAGTCAAGTTACAGGGAACCAGGCAGAGGGCTTTCTCGGTAGTAGTGCCCGCCCTTTGGAATCCCCTTCCATCAGATGTCAAGGAAATAAACAACTATCTGACTTTTAGAAGACATCTGAAGGCAGCCCTGTTTAGGGAAGTTCTTAATGTTTGATGTTTGATGTTTTTCATATTCTGTTGAGAGAAGCCCAGAGTGGCTGGGGAGGCCTGGCCAGATGGTGTGGGGTATAAATAAATTATATTATTATTATATATTATTATTATATATTATTATTTCCATTAAATCATTCTGACAACTGTTGTTCTGTGAGGAGAATAGTGGGTCCTCCTAACAGCTGTCATCACCCTTAACAAACTCCAGCTCCCAGAATTCTCTGGGGATGCCATCAAAGTTTTATCATATTGCCTTAAAATGCATGGGGCGAATGTGGCCCTGCATTGTTCCCCCTCTTCCTGCAACAACAACCCCCCAGAAACCCTCCATTTTACCAAAAACCTGTTTGTGTGCAATGGCTTTCAGAACTGTACACACCTCAGCTTCGCCACAGCTTCAGTTTCAAATCAGATGGAAGCTGGGTTGAGCGGAAACAAATCAAACCACGGTATTTCCCAAGAAAGTAGAGAATACATAAAGACTGTGGCTAATGTGGCTTCAAACACCAGCAGTGAGAGCTCACTGAAGTAAATGGCAATTTGTACAGGGCCCAAGTCTGAGGTTGCAATCCTACCTGCATCTACTCAGAGGAAAGTCCCATAGGGCCCGCTCCCAGGTAAGCAGGTTAAGACTTCAGCCTTAATCTAGCAGCCCCTGCAAATGCTAAGGGGTTAATTTAACAGCTGGCCTGGAATTAAGTGGATCAAGTGCACAGCTGGGAGAGAGGGGAGATTTAGGAGGGAAGTCATATCACGACAACCTTCCCTGAAGGGCTTCATTTGTAGCTAAGGCCTTGGAAGAGGTAATTGGGGTTCCCTGTTTCCGCTTTCTACTTCCCTTCTGGCTTGTATGCATTTTGCTCTGTGGCGCATGTTGCTTTGGGGCTCAGTTGTGACCTTTCATTGAGTAAGCTTAACTTTGGGAGAAGAAAAGCAGAGAGGGGATCGTGGGATGACTGGGGATTAAGCAGGGATGGGAGGAGGACTCCCCTGTGCTGTGGTGGCGCTGGGGAAAATGTTGAGGCACAGAAGGGACAAAGGATATTTCTAGGGTTCAGGAAAGAAAGAAGAATAGTAGTTTGGATTTGATATCCCTCTTTATCAATACCCGAAGGAGTCTCACAGCGGCTAACATTCTCCTTTCCCTTCCTCCCCCACAACAAACACTCTGTGAGGTGAGTGGGGCTGAGAGACTTCGGAGAAGTGTGACTAGCCCAAGGTCTCCCAGCAGCTGCATGTGGAGGAGCAGGGATGTGAACCCAGTTCACCAGATTCCGAGACTACCACTCTTAACCACTACACCAGGAATGAGTGGGTAGCAAGTGAAGGATGAGTTTCCTTTGGTGAAGGCAGGTATTTGCCCTCTTCCCCCCTCTGGTGCCACCTACCTCCCAATAGCAGGGTTCTCTGAGCTGAGCACTGCCATTTTTTATGTCATACATGTGCTCACTGAAACTGGGCTGCTTGTTCTCCATACAAGGCAAAGGGGTATTGGTACAGAGGTGGGACGTGGTAGCCTATAGGAAAATGAACAGTGAGCAGGTGAAGAGATCCTGTAGTGCGTGCAGAGTCAATGTTGTCCTCTGCATCTCATGTGAAGTCTGATTCTTCTGTTGATCTTCTGCTATGTTGACCACTCTTTGGGGTGAGAAGCTGTCTGTAAGCAAGGACAGATTTAGCTCAGATGTGTACCATTACACTGCAGTTAATTCAGAACTAAATCAATTTAGCTTGATGTCACAGAAATGTGCATCTACTTAGAAGCTATCTAGTATTTTTTTAAAAAAAAACAACAACCATGTTGGAGGTTCTTCCTAGTATTGAGTCTAGGCTCTTCTTATATCCTAAGCAAGATCAGTGGCGTTAAATCTTGCATCAAACCAGGCAGAGGGCCTTCTCGGTAGTGGCACCCACTATGTGGAACACCCTCCCATCAGATGTCAAGGCAATAAACAACTATCTGACTTTTAGAAGACATCTGAAGGCAACCCTGTTTAGGGAAGTATTTAATATTTGATGCTTTATTGTGTTTTTAATATTCTGTTGGGAGCTGCCCAGAGTGGCTGGGGAGACCCGGCCAAATGGGGTGGGGTATAAATAACTATTTGTTTGTTTGTTTTGTTTTGTTTTTATTTCTACTACTACTACTTTGTACACAGCAGTGTTGCTTTTGTGAAGATAACCATGGATCAACACGTCCCCACGCAAGAACCAGCATCAGAAGAGTCAGAAGAAGAAGCTGTAGGTGAGACCACTTATTTTATTTTAGTTTTATTTATGTTATTACATGTATGTCTCACCTTTTCTCCAGGGAGTTTGAGGCTGTGTCCAAGGTTCTCCCTCTCCCCATTTTGTCTCACATCACCCCTGTTAGGTAGGCTAGGCTGAGAAGCAGGGACTTGCCCAAGGTCACCTGGCGAGCTTCATGGCTGAGTAGGGACTAGAACCCCAGTCTCCCACGTCTCAGCCCAACACTCTAACCACTGTGCCACACTGCTAGAGCACAGAGCTGGTCATGGGTCAGTGCTAAGTTCTCTCTCACACACAGGTTGGGTGAACTTGTGGGATGTTTCTAATGTTAATGCTGTATTGTGTTTTTAATACTCGGTTGGGAGCCGCCCAGAGTGGTTGGGGAAACCCAGCCAGATGGGCGGGGTATAAATAATAAATTATTATTATTATTATTATTATTAAATTAAATTTATTTCTTTCTCTCTCTCTCTCTCTCTCTCTCTCTCTCTCTCTCACTCGTGGCTTGAAGGACAACTTCCTTTTCGGTTACCTGTCACTCCTCCTGCACCTCCCACATACATAGAATCATAGAGCTGTAGGGTCGGACTACAGTTTCCCTTCCAACCCCCACAATGCAAAACTCTCAGCTAAAGCATCCATGGCTGGTGGCCATCCAACTTCTGCTTGAAAACCTCCAAGGAAGGAGAGTCCACAACCTCCTGAGGGAGACCGTTCCACTGTCCAACAGCTCTTACTGTCAGAAAGTTTTTTCCATATATATATATATATATATATATATATATATCAGCATATCATTTTCAACAGTAATTAAACATACTTTCATATCTTATACCATTTTTTTTTACTTCCATCAATCACATCTGAAAATTTTTCAGTCTATTCACTAAATACACATTTCTTACTTCCACAATTACATTTAACTCATAACTAACATCTCTATTCTTTCTCTACTTTGCAATACTTCATACATTTCTTCTTACAAAACTTCTTGTAGTACTACTAGCGTAATTTGTTGATTACAGCTGCTCTTCAGATAGTTCGTATATTTCTTCCAATCTTCTGTAAATCTCTGGTCCCGCAGGTTTCAAATCCTTCCTGTCATTTTATCTAATTCTGCATAGTCCATTAATTTTGTCTGCCATTCTTCTTTCAGGTTTTTTCCCATATGTTTAGTAGGAATCTCTTTTCTTGTAACTTGAAGCCATGGGTTCAAGTCCTACCCTTTGGAGCGGCAGAAAACAAGCTTGCTCCCTCTTCCTTGCCCTTGAGATATTTGAAGGAGACTATCATATTTCTTGTCTCCTCTTTTCCAGGCTAAACATCCCCAGCTCCTTCAAGGATGCTGACTAGATAGGCAATTGGCCTTATCCAAAAGACTCTCTCTAATTTGCATGTTCCCCCCCACCCTATTTCCACAGTTGAGGTGCCAGTGATAGAGATGGAGGAAGAACCAATGGAGTTGCCCCCAGAAAATTTGGCAGATGAAGTGGCAGGACAGAACTTAGGCACTCAAGATTGGCCAAGATGGCCAGAGGAGCAGCAGCCACAGCAGCAGCAGCCACAACCACCGCCGCAGCCACAGGGAGAAGATCAGTCTGTGCCTGATGTGGGTGGAATCTTCCTTAAACCAGAGGAACCGGAAGAGAGCAAGGAGAAATGTCCTGTTGCTGCTCGGATCAGAATGCAAGTGATGGAAGCTCAGAACCAGAGCTTGAAATTGGAGGAAAGGAGCCGCAGTCCCTGCAGAAGCGCCGCCAAATTTCCGACGCAGCTCACCGAAAGGATGCCTCGCTCGTGTTCGCAATGCCGGAAACCTTTCAGCTGCAGCACAAGCCTGAGATCACATCAAGGGGCCCACACAGCGATGCCCTACCAGTGCGAGGAGTGTGGCAAGGTCTTTGCTCACTTAGCCAACCTGAGAGTGCACGAGAGGGGCCACGTGGGGCCAAAGACTTCCAGGTGCCCGACCTGCAAGATCAGCTTTGCACGGTCCTTGTCCAACCTCACCGAACATCGGAGAACTCAGCGGGATACATTGGAACAGAAATATTTTCCCTGTGTGAAAATCGAAGGCACCCAGGTGATGTTTCGGATCGGGAAGGCAGAGGAGAGGCCACACCAATGTCCACACTGTGGCGAGAGTTTTGAGGACGAGTCAAGCCTTCGTGAACATGAGAAAACCCACAGGCGGAGGACCACCTAAACTGTGTGGGATGTGCAGCCCTCTCTTAACATCCAGGGATACAGGCTTGGGCCACAAACCAAGACATGTAGGCAACCAGTTGTGTGTATTTTTTTTTTTTTAGCCTTTTGATGACTGTTGGGTTTAGAAGTTGCTGTACTGCTTTTGTTGCATAGCTTTTATAGTTTGGTTGCATTTTATCGTTTTATGAAAACCATCTGTCAGAGGAGAAGCCAGATAGACGGAACGTTTTCCTCTGTCAAATCAAGGACAGCCATCTTTTCTCTTTTTTTGTGGGGCCACGGGGATTTTCCTTTCACAGACTCGGCATCGAAACCAGATGTGGGGGACCTTGGCCCACCCCAGATGTTGCTGAATTGCATCTCCCATCATCCCTGGCAATTGGCCATGCTTGCTGCAAGGGCTGATGGGAGTTGTAATTCAACAACATCTGGAGGGCCAAAGCTTTCCTATACCTTAAATGCTCAGATCTCTCTCTTTTGGACATTAAGTTGTTCTCATCACATGTCTCTAAATGCACAGAGATGGGGTATTCCCAGAGGATGTTGGACTGCCATTTCCATCTCCCTAACCCTTGGTCATGCTGGCTGAGTCTGATGGGAGTCGCAGTCCTCTGAAATCTGGAGCACAGGAGCACAATGGCTATCCTGGGTCAGGATCTCTTGGCTTGTCCTTAATTCATTTGTTAGTTATGAACTTGGATAATAGCTGTTGCAGGTTTTTGATTGCTTACGTTATGTAATGGTGACTGTTTTACTAATAAAGTTGAGATGATGCTTCCCCTACCCCTTGTTTTCTACTCTCTAACAAATGCCAGCTCCCTCGGTCTGAAAAGGAAGATGAGTGCCACACCCCATAATCACCTTTGGCTGGACTTAACCATCCAGGGGTCCTTTGCCTTTCCTTTCCTCTACTCTATTATTTTTATTAGAAAGAAGTGGCACAGCTTTCACATATAGCCATTTGCAGCACACTTGGGAAGCTGCCTCACAAAGACTTGAGCTCTTGGTCCACCTTGCCCAATAGTGTCTAAACTGGCCGCAGTTCTTCAGGATTTCAGATAGCGCTCCAGTGGCCAAAATTTATGATTATTATCTGAAGAGTCCTCACTATCATTTGAGAATTTAGTTACATACTTTGCTCTGAGAAGACCTCCAGTATATACAGTGGTACCTCGGGTTACAGATGTTTCAGGTTACAGAGTCCACTAACCCAGAAATAGTACCTCGGGTTAAGAACTTTGCTTCAGGATGAGAACAGAAATCGCACGGTGGCAACGCAGTGGTAGCAGGAAGCCCCTTTAGCTAAAGTGGTACCTCAGGTTAAGAACAGTTTCAGGTTAAGAACGGACCTCCAGAACAAATTAAGTTCTTAACCCGAGATACCACTGTATATAAAAAGGAATGAGGAAAAGGTGGCAGTCGTCAGCTCTGACCTCATCCTTCTGTCAGATATTTGACAGGTGAGTGACTATGCACATCTGTCAAAGTTGGCCTGCAAGGTACAAGGAGAGGGGAGAAAAGACCTGGTGCACCAGGCTAAAAGAATCTGTGCCCCTCACTACCCTGTTTGTAATTTAACACATCTATGTCCCAGACATTTGGATTGTGTGTGAGAAAATGCTGCAATTCAGGACACCACTAGATCTGGCAAACAAAATTATGCATTTAGCCATGTTAGAGCCTGGGATCATTTTCTACTAGGAATCCTGCAAGTTGTAAATACCGACCACCCGCAGCAGCCAAAAAAATTAGCAACACAAACACTTAATCATGTTAACCATTTTATAGCCTCTTGTAGGGTGATGCAAATGAGGCAGTAATTCTTTACAGAAACAAAAATGTAGGTGGACTCTAGACACATATTTTAAAAATGCCATGAAAATGCTTTTTATTGAATTTGCCATAGCTCACCATCGCCATCTAGTGTCACATTTGTATAATACACTTTACAACACACTTTTATATGCTGCTGTATAGCTGTGTGCTTGGGACCGGTCTGGAGTTGTGGTCTAAACCACTGAGCCTAGGGCTTGCCGATCGGAAGGTTCGAATCCCCACGATGGGGTGAGCTCCCATTGCTCTGTCCCGGCTCCTGCCAACATAGCAGTTCAAAAGCATGTCAAAGTGCAAGTAGCTGCTCTGGTTTCGCCAGAAGCGGCTTAGTCATGCTGGCCACATGACCCGGGAAAACTGTCTGCGGACAAACGTCGGCTCCCTCGGCCAGTAAAGCGAGATGAGCATCGCAACCCTAGAGTCGCTCGTAACTGAACTTAACTGTCAGGGGTCCTTTACCTTTTTAGCTGAGTCCTTAGACATTTGATCTGACTAACCTGATTCTTTGTAGCTGACATAGCAGCAGCAGCTAGAACCAAGGCAAAAATGTTTCAACTGCTTTCATGTTTGCGTTCGTGCCAGAAGGTGCAATGTGGTTACACTTACAGTAGTGCTGTTTCCTTGTTTTTTTGTATGTCCACTCAAATTTGTTGCTACAGTATTATGAAACCATGCTTGCAATTGCTGATTTCATGATACTTTGTTGTAAGCCGCTTTGAGCATGGTTTATTTGTGCAAAGGTCGCCCTACAAATAAAGTGATGGTGGTTACACAGAAGCAGTCAATGATTTGATGAAACATTCACCTTGCAGATTTCGCTACTTATGACTTCTTCCTTATCCTCACAAGCCGACGGCTCTTCCCCCAACACAACACTTCTGGGTTTCCGGCACCAGCATAAGTGTTGGGTGGTGCCGGAGCTTCCACATTAATTGTGAACATCACCCAGTGCACAAAATAAAAACAAAAAAATAACACCTCAGCTGCCCTGGAGGATAAGCTCAGTCTTAAATGCCTTTGATTATTTTATTGTTGCAATCATAGCAGCAGTCATACGGCACTATGAACATGGGGCTTTACAAAGAACAGGTACGACAAGTCCCTGCCACAAGCATCTTATAATCTAGAACAGATGTAAGGAAGCAAAAGGAGGCACAACCAACAGCCAGGGATGATGGGAGGTGCAGTTAAACAACACCTGGGGGGCTCCTCCTTCCCCACACCTTTAGACACCCGAGATGTTTGTTTTCAGGGCCCCACCAATATTATTGTGTCTCTAATCTGCTTCAACTTGAATTTAAGACTGAATTTTAAATTGTTGTAACCCACCCTGGAACCTGATGATGAGGGACGGGTAATAAATTTAATAAGAAGGAACAGGGTTCAAGAGGAGGCAGATGATTATTTCAAATAGGTATACTTGGAATACATTATTGATGAGCATCTCCACCCCCATCGTTCAGCCCGGACACTGAGGTCCAGCTCCCAGGGCCTTCTGGCAGTTCCCTCCATGCAAGAAGTGAGGTTAGAAACAACCATCTGACTTTTTGAAGGCAGCCCTGTTTAGTAAAGTTTTTAATGTTTGATGTTTTATCATGCTTTTAATATTCTGTTGGGAGCTGCCCAGAGTGGCTGGGGACACCTGGCCAAATCAGCAGGGTATAAGTAATAAATTATTATTTTATGTTGTTGTTGTTATTATTCCCCACCCATCTGGCTGGGTTTCCCCAGCTGCTCTGAGCGGCTTCTAGCAGAATATAAATACTAAACATCAAACATTAAAAACTTCCTGAAACAGGGCTGCCTTCAGATGTCTTCTCAAAGTTGTGTAGTGCTTTATCTCCTTGACATATAATGGGAGGGTTAATGCCCTAACCTGCCCTGGGACCTTTGAGAGAAGGGCAGATGACAATGACAACAACAACAACCACAACCCTGGTCTTAATTACAAAGGTACCTGTGCATATAGGCCAAAGGCTTCCCAGAAGAGGTAAGCCATAAAGAGGACTTCAAGTGTTGTGCAGCTAAGCTGAACTCAAGAGTAGGCTCATTGAAATCAACATGCCCCAATTAGTCATATTCATTCACTTCAATGGGTCTTGCACCTGATGCAATGCCAGGAAATGAGAGGTATTCACTTGAGGAATCCTGAAAAGTTGGATGCTTCCACAGCATCCCAGTTCTCCTCCCCACTGTTCTGTCAGATGCGGGCAGTTATACAAGTCCCATGCCTCTGCCCCTCACTGCCATCAAAAGGAGTCAGGGTCTGGAGAGAAGGTTATCGTTGAAGGAGCCGTCAGATGTGGGCCAAGCCCCAGCAGTGCCCCAAGTAGATGTTGAGCAAGGCCTTTGCGACTTCTGAACTTTCACAGGATCTCCCTTCTCTGTGGGCATCTGTGGCTTCACTGGGGGCTTTTGGCTCCTCCCCAGAAGAAACTGGTTCATCCACAACTTCCTCTAGGAGAGAGAGAGAAAAGTAAAATATTTACTATAGTAATAATAAAGTAACAAACATGGAACAGGAAAGAAGAGAGTAAAAGAGGGGAGCTGATACGGGAGGAAGTGAATGCAAAAGGACCAGAGAGGAATAGTAATATAATAATTTATTACTTTTACCCCGCCCATCTGGCCGGGCCTCCCTAGCCATTCTGGGCAGCTCCCAACAGGAGAAAACATCAAACATTAAAAACTTCCTAAACAGGGCTGCCTTCAGGTGTCTTCTCAAAGTCAGATATAGTGGTATCTCGCAAGACGAATGCCTCGCAAGACGAAAAAAGCGCAAGACGAAAGAGTTTTCCGTTTTTTGAGTCATTCCGCAAGACGAATTTCCTATGGGCTTGCTTCACAAGACGAAACGTCTTACGAGTTCTTGCGAGTTTGTTTCCTTTTTCTTAAAGCCGCTAAGCCGTTAATAGCCGCTAAACCGCTAATAGCCGCTAATAGCCGTGCTTCGCAAGACGAAAAAACCGCAAGACGAAGAGACTCGCAGAACGGATTAATTTCGTCTTGCGAGGCACCACTGTAGTTGTTTATTGCCTTGACATCTGACAGGAGGGTGACTCACAGGGCGGGTGCCACTACTGAGAAGGCCCTCTGCCTGGTTCCCTGTAACCTCACTTCTCGCAGTGAGGGCACTGCCAGAAGGCCCTCAGAGCTGGACCTCAGTGCCCAGGTTGAACATTGGAGGTGGAGACGCTCCTTCAGGTATACTGGGCCAAGGCCGAAGGATGGAAGGAACTGGCAACGGGAGCTGGGTGAAGGAAAATAAGGTTGAGTGTGAAAGGAGAATGTTATTTACTTATTTATTTCCTACCCTTCACTCAAAGGTCCAAGGGACAGTTACAGCACCTAAACGCAATATTAAAACGATTCAAAACAACTTACAACCCTAAAAATTAAGGTCAATAAAGTATAGGGGATGAGTAAAGATACGTGCAAATGGCTGTACTTAACTTCAGGAAGCTGACCTACAGAACTCCTTGCCACAAGGGGGAAAAACAGCAAGGCAGAGAATTTAGCAAATGTCCAAAGATGGAATAGGTATCCACAGACAATTATGCCAGTCATTTGCACCCAATTACACTACACGCTGCCTCCATATAGCACTGGTTATCTGATGAGCTCCGCCCCTGCACTGTCATTTCATGTCAGGGGGGGCCTCAGGAATTTTCAGCCATCTGAAGTGACTCTGAAGGGGAGAAGATTTGAGGCCCCAGGTTATAAAGTACATACATTGCAGGCTCCAAGGAGCCTCTGAGCTTCCTGAAGGGCAGGAAGGAGATCCAGCTGAGGTCGGCTCAGGAAGGCGATTCACAGCATCCATGAGCTCAAGCAGGATCTGATAGAGGGAGGCCTTCTCATCACCATCTCCTCGCTGGATTTCAGAGGCCAGCGGCCTTCTCTCGACATAACACAAAGCCTGGCTTGCCATGGGGGAGCTCACAGCCGCCACCTGAGATGCCATCTCCAAGAGAGAAAGAGAAAGAGAAAGGAGACCTTTTAGGGCAGAGCAATAGTGTTGGGTCCAATCAAGCCCTCAATAAGCATCCCTATTCCATGATTGGATTATATATTTTTATATATTGGGGAAGAACCTTAAAGACACCATATTTATTTCAGAGGAAGTCTCAGCTGCCCTTCTCCTGCTCTACAGGGATAAGGTGGGAAATGGAAAATAATAAATAATAATGTACTCTGTGTGGCTCCCAACAGAATATTAAAAACACGATAAAACAGAGAAGTTTTATCCTAAAGCAGCAGAAAAGACTATTTATGTACGTGACCACAGCTGCAGGGATGTTACTGGCCCAGAGCTGCAAAGAAGATAAAGTTCCTACCAGAGAAGAATGGCAGATGAAGTTAATGGACTACACTGAAATGGCTAAAATGACCAGAAGAGTCAGTAATCAGGAAGACCAAAATTTTAATAAGGAATGGGCAAAACTTATAACTTATCTTAAAGACCATTGTAAACAGTTAAAATTGTTAGTAGGATTGCAATATCACTTGTAGTTTAAGGTTAATTCTGGACAAAATTGAAGAGGTAATAGGTTTGGGCTGTCATAAAAGATGCAGGAAGAAATGATTAATAATAGGACCCACAAAGGGGAGGATGGAAGCCCAGGAGATTCCCTGGAATATTGTTTTTATGATTTATGTTTGATATATCTCTGTAAATTTTTAATTTGAAAAATATATATAAAAAAGGAGAGTAGGAGATGGGCCTCCCTTAAAAATCCTCAACTTCCACAAGAAGTGAACTGTGGGGCTTTGATCCGCCATGGGTCACCTCGCAGAAACAGTGCAGCACTAAGGAAAGCAGGGGGAAAACAAGAGTGACTGTGATTAGATGCAAGACTAAAACATCATTTACTCAATTTAGGGCAGCTCGCGTTACAAAAATATATTGACCACCAGAAGAGCCTTGCTCCGTCAGACCAAAGGTCCATATTTTAGGATTATTTATGAACCACTTAATGCCAAAAGAGGGTCCCTTGTTCTTACAGGGGGACAACCAGTTGCCTCTAGTGGGAAGCCTACAAGCAGGAACTGAACGCAACAGAAACTCTCTCCCAATTCTCGATAGACTGAAACTGCAGAGTTTTGAGAAACTAAAAAATAAAGTGCGAGACTGGCTTCATTATTATCAGATAATGGAGACATATAATTTGGACAAGAAAATTGGCTTCCAGGTGGAAAAATCAAAATTAGAAACAGAACTGTTAGAACCCAAAACTAAGATTTTGTCAAAGATGTATAACTTGCTGTTGAAATGGAATACTCAGGATGAAACGGTGAAATCTGCTATGATTAAATGGGCACAAGATTTTGGACATAACATTATGTTTGCTGACTGGGAACAGTTGTGGACCACAGGTATGAAGTTTACGGCATGTCATGCTTTAAGAGAGAATATTATGAAAATGATATACAGGTGGTACATGACCCCAGTCAAGCTTGCAAAAATTTATCATTTGCCCAATAACAAATGTTGGAAATGTAAAGAAACTGAAGGTACATTCTTTCACCTTTGGTGGACGTGCCCAAGGATTAAGGCTTTCTGGGAAATGATATATAATGAACTGAAAAAGGTATTTAAATATACCTTCTTGAAGAAACCAGAGGCCTTTCTCCTGGGCATAGTCGGCCAATTGGTGCCAAAGAAGGATAGAACCTTTATTATGTATGCCACAACAGCAGCAAGAATACTCATTGCAAAGTATTGGAAGACACAAGATCTACCCACTCTGGAAGAATGGCAGATGAAGCTGATGGACTATATGGAACTGGCAGAAATGACTGGCAGAATCTGAGACCAGGGAGAAGAGTCGGTGGAAGAAGATTAGAAGAAATTCAAAGACTATCTACAGAATTATTGTAAAATTAATGAATGTTAGAATGATGTTGGATAGAAATTAAGTGGTTTCCAGCTGTAATGCTTTAAGGGATTATGAAAAATGGGTTGCTAATAGGTAAAAATTTAACGTTACTATTTTAAGACTAAAGATTAGGATAAATAAAGAGGGTAGGGATTTGCTGAACCAACAAATTGAACTGGAATACAAAAAAGGGAGGTATGAGGAGGTCCGGGAAACAAGTTAAAGGAAAATAAGCAATGGAAAATCTGTGTGTTTTTAACTATTTTTATTTTGTATTTTTGTTATTTTTTTCATTTTTATTGTAATACTTTAAAAAAGCTTAATAAATATCTTATATATAAAAAAGAAACTCTCTCCCAATTCTCAGCAACTGATATTCAAAAGCAGAGCTGGAGGCAGAGCATAACCAGTAGCAATAGCTATCGCCTTCAGAAACTCAGCCAGATTGAGTTGTACTCAATGTACATGATATAATACAAGTTCATATTAAAATATATGTCTGGGTAGGCACACTCCCATTCTCAGTTACAGCTTTCCGTTTAAAATCCAACCCTGTGCCTTATTTTGATAAAAGTTTTCTTTCTCTCTGCCTCACTTTTGTAACATCCTGGGGAATGGGGAAATCAAAAGTTGAAAAGACGGGGGACACAGACCACCACACCAGGCTAGGAAACTTGCAAAGGAGATTAAACCCTTTTGTGGGGGCGCTTTAGACCCGCCGTTGAAATTCCCCCTTTTACCTCGCGGTGCAATAGCAGAAATCTGTAGAAAGAGGCTCTGCTCTGGAATCACCTTAAAATATGTTGCTATTGGTGCGCGGATGCTTCCCAAACCCCCAGTAACTTCAAATCCTGAAAAAAGTCATATGTTTTTCTTCCTTCCTTCCTTTTTAAATCGATTTTATAAAGGGTTTCCAACATATAATGCAATAAAAAACCCAAACAAAGTTAATGTGTAAAAAGAGCAAAATAATCAAAAGGAAAAGAGGGGGGGGAAACACGCACCCGCACTATCTTAATTTTTAATTCGGAAATAGGCTTTTCTGACTTTATTTCATAGTAAAATAAACACCCGCCTCTTCTTTTAGTTTCTGCTTCCCATCTCTCTGCAGACACCAAAAGCCTCCCCTAAGCTTAGCCGAGATCTCCTCACCGAGCCCAGCGCGCATCCACGATCCAGCTTCAGCCACGCTGCAAGAAAAAGAAAGAGCTGACCGGAAGCGGGAATTTTTCAAAAAGCAGCTGCTCGTGACGTTGTTTCCGGGAAGCGAGTCTCATTCGAAACAGAAAGCTACGCGTCAAAATCCTCTCTAGGAATCCAGGCTCTGTTCCCAAGGCGACTCCTGGGAGGTGGGAAGGGGGGGTTGATCGCTCTGTCCCCTGGGCATTTGCTCAGTTCAAAGCCAATTTGGGAAATATATATAATACAGTGAGGGGGGGAAGTATTTGATCCCCTGCTAAATTTGCCCGTTTGCCCTCTGATGAAGAAATGACCAGTCCGTAATTTTAATGGTAGGTTTGTTGTAGCTGTGAGAGACAGAATAACAATAGGAAAACCCCCCAGAAACCCAGAAGACAAAAGTCAGAAATAGACGTGCATTATAATGAGTGAAATAAGTATGTGATCCCTTTGCAAAGGTGGCTTAGTACTTGGTTGCAAAACCCTTGTTGGCAATTACAGAGGTCAGACGTTTCTTCTAGGTGGCCACCAGGTTTGCACACATCTCAGGAAGTATTTTGTGCCACTCCAATAAACTTACATATGTGGATTATTTTCAGTTTCAGCAACAGGGAAGCTGCAGTCTTCCAGATGTTGTTGGACTCCCAAAGTCCCCTCATCCCTTAGCAGTGGCTGTGCAACATCTGGAGAGCACAGGCTCCCTGTCCCGGGCGTATGTGGTGCCCTGCAGATGTTGCTGCTCTCCAAAAACCCCTCAGCCAAGCCCTGCTGAGGATCAAGGGGAATAGAAGTTGTGGCTCAAAGATATCAAAAAAGACCCACAGAGAAGCTAGCTCAAAGGTACAAGAATGTGTTATGAGAATTTTAAGGTCTCAGATATAGAATAAATAATCATAAATGCACACATATCTAAATATATGAACCATGTGTCTGAAATAGTATGGGAGAGCATACCTGAAGCCATTTTGACTCTCCCAATGACCTTAAATATTCCTCTGCAATAAGGGAGGCAAAGGGGGAAAGCCTTCCTATTGTCTTTTTGCTTGCAAATCCTGTATTAAGGGCGTATTGGTGTATGAAAAGGGTGAGCCTGGGAGCTGGATTCAGGAGCTAAAGTATTAACCATCACAAAAGAATGGCCAGGCTGCCCAGGTAAAGCAATCAGTGACTATTATCAGCTATCCTGGCAGGCAGGACTTCTGCTGTAGAGTGCCTCCTTCTGTGATGTATGTATGATGGGGGGTTTTCGGGGGGGGGGAGGTCTTGGGCTACAGGGTGGGCAATTTCAAAAGTCTGTATAAGGGCTTGTACAGCATTGTTCTGGGTTCTCCTACCTCCTGCATGTGGTGAGTGGGGACCATGTTGCAACAGTTCCTTGAATAAAGATCAGGCTTACTACGGTTGGCCTCTGTTATTTTCTTCTACCGATGGGGAAACCCACTTAAGGACTCTATACAGGCTCTGAAATACCCCATAAGGGAAAGGGAGCAGTTTTTCTTATAACAAATGGCAGAAAGTGAGGAGGAATTAAAGAACCTTTTACTGAGGGTGAAAGAGGAGAGCGCAAAATATGGTCTGAAGCTCAACATCAAAAAAACGAAGATCATGGCCAATGGTCCCATCACCTCCTGGCAAATAGAAAGGGAAGAAATGGAGGCAGTGAGAGATTTTACTTTCTTGGGCTCCATAATCACTGCAGATGGTGACAGCAGCCACGAAATTAAAAGACGCCTGCTTCTTGGGAGAAAAGCAATAACAAACCTAGACAACATCTTAAAAGCAGAGACATCACCTTGCCAACAAAGGTCTGTATAGTTAAAGCTATGGTTTTCCCAGTATGGAAGTGAGAGCTGGACCATAAAGAAGGCTGATCGTCGAAGAATTGATGCTTTTAAATTATGGTGCTGGAGGAGACTCTTGAGAGTCCCATGGACTGCAAGAAGATTCAGCCTATCCATTCTTAAGGAAATCAGCCCTGAGTGCTCACTGGAAGGACAGATCCTGAAGCTGAGGCTCCAATACTTTGGCCACCTCATGAGAAGAGAAGACTCCCTGGAAAAGACCCTGATGTTGGGAAAGATAGAGGGCACAAGGAGAAGGGGACGACAGAGGACGAGATGGTTGGATAGTGTTCTCGAAGCGACCAGCATGAGTTTGACCAAACTGCGGGAGGCAGTGGAAGACAGAAGTGCCTGGCGTGCTCTGGTCCATGGGGTCACGAAGAGTTGGACATGACTAAACAACTAAGGTTGGTACAAAGGTTGGAAATGTAAGGACTGTGAGGGGACATTCTGACATATGGGGTGGACCTGCAGGAAGACAAAGGCCTGCCTTCCTTGTAGGTTTTTTAAAGTGGCAAGTCAGGATTTTAAAATCTTATAAATGTATAGATCTCTATATAAACTTCAAATTAGATTCTGAGCATGGGCATGGGAGATGTCAGAGGAGTACAGCCATACGCTGCTCGCGCATGCGCAGACGGTCAAAATGACGTCACTCGTAGTCTTGGAAGTGGCAAAACACGACCTGTGCATGCGCAGACACGCAGTCGCGTCTTACGTTCTGTTCAGGATGTGAACGGGACTCCGGAATGGATCCTGTTCACATCCTGAGGTACCACTGTATAAAAATATGCATGGTTGTGGACTTTCCTTGCTTGGAGGTTTCTGAGCAGAGGTTGGATGCCCATCTGTCATGGCTGCTTCAGCTGAGATTCCTGCATTGCAGGGGGTTGGACTACATGACCCTTGGGGTCCCTTCCAACTCTGTGATTTGGTGATTCTATGAGAACTATAATCCCCAGCAGCCCTTGCCAACCCAGAAAACTCCCTAATTGGCATTCAATTCAATAAGAGAGCCAGTGTGGTGTGATTGTTCGAATTAGGGCAAGATCCTGTCTCCCCATCCCTTGCAACTACTCATAGCTGTCAACTTTTCCCTTTTTTTGCGAGGAATCCTATTCAGAATAAGGGAATTTCCCTTTAAAAAAGGAAAATGTTGACAGCTATGAACTATCCATTGGATGACGCTGCCTGTCCAACTGGGCTAAACAAATCCATTCATGTGGGGTATGTGGGGGTGATTTATATCAGCACCATTCCTGATTCCCAGCAAACCATTTTCTTACATCCTTCATCCTTTTTTTTAAGTCTCAAGAAGACACTATAGGAAAGCTGAGCAAGAAAACAATGTGAAGTTATTCTTCGTATTGAAATAAAAACCAAACCTCAGCAGTTTCTTTTCAGTTCCGACGGTTTCTCCCTGCCAAAGTTTCCACTTCCTCAAGACTACAATTCCCAGCAAGCCCCCTGAAAACTCCATACAAATGACCTGCAGCTGGTTCCCATTTTAATGAGCAAATGAGAAAGGAGCTATAGGAGGAGGAAGAAGGAAAGTCATGAGTGCCTCTCTTGGAGCGGCTGGTTTGCCCCTAGGAAGAGCTCCCTGGAGAACAGGATTCACCTAGGAAGGCGCTCCAAATTTGGGTTCTCGCTTCTGCCTTTCCCTTCCTGATGTTTAACTCATTGGGTGCTCCTTTGAATGTATTTCACTTCTTGGAGTGGGTGCTGCTTTGGGGCCCTCTGTTGACGCTGGAGACGGATCTTGGTGAGTTAACAAAAGGAGGAAATTTGTGCCCCAGTGGAAGCCCAGGTGGTGAGGGAAGCTTTTTGTCCTTTGAACTCTGGATCACTGAAGATGGGCAGAATTGTTTACATTGACTGGCAGGGGTTCTGCAGGATTTTAGGTACAGAACTTTCCCCAGCCCCACCTGGAGATGCCGGGGATTGAACTTGCAACCTTCTGTATGCAAAGCGTACCATATTGCAGGCAGGTCCAACGCCCAAGAGACTGCGATCTACTCCCAGTATTAAAAAAAACAAACTGGCAGTGATCTGGGGTTTTTTGGGGGGAAGGATGACCCAGAGCTGATGAGCTTTTGGGGGAGATTGGCCTACAACACCCAGCGATTGACCTAGAACAGCTTCGTGATTGGCAAGTAGATCGCGACCGACGTATTGGACATGCCTGCCATATTGGAAGTCCTTATTAGGTCTGATTCTCTCGGGCAACTCATTAATTTTCCCTCAGATTACCACACCAGCCCATATGTTAACTCTCAGCTTCTGTTGTTGTTTTTTCAGAGGAAAGTCATGGAAGAGAGCAAACCCAGAAGTTCCCCGTTAGAAGCTGGGATGGAGGAGACAGGAGAAGTCTTCCAGGACCTCGAGGTGAGACCCTTACACTGTGTTATTTTATAGAATCAGCATTGAAAGGGACTCAAGGCTCATCTCATCCAACCCCCTGCAATGCAGGAACCTCAGCTAAAGCATCCATGGCAGGTGGATGTAATGGGACAAGGCGATGAGATCTCTCCTAACTTTACAACCAAGAAGGCGAAGCTGCAAGCCTGGATCTTTCTATCCGGTAAGGCCAATGGACACGAAGGTCACTGTGGAGGAGAGGGTGAAGTCCTTGCATCTTGCAATATTGCTCTGCCCTAAAACTCTTTCTCCCAAGTGACTGAAAAGGCCACATTCCTACTAAGAGTCTCATCCTCTACCAACTGATCTACCGTATTTTTCTGTGTATAAGATGCCCCCGTATATAAGACAACCCCTGTTTTTTTGAACCCAAAAATTAAGAAAGCAATATTTTAAACATCAGACAGAACAAGTTTGATATTTTATTGAATATTCAAAGCACCAGCACTGGCGTGGCAACCCCTGTGAGTGCCTGGGGCGGCAGTGGGGGGGGGCATGTGCGGGGGCAGATCACCAAATGTTTTTGAGCTTTTTTGGGGCGGGGGGAGACCGCCTAAGCCAGACACAGCAACTGCGGGAAGCTAAATTGTGTGTTTTTCCACCCTTGTGCATTCACCAACCCTGTAGAAGACAACCCCCAATTACTGACTTTTTTTTTAGCAAAAAACATTGTCTTATACATGGAAAAATATGGTATATTGGCTCCCTAGTTCCTCATACATCAGTGGCATCAGCTGATGGGTGGATGGGCATGGTTTGGGGAAAACAGCCTGATGGGCTAATAATAATAATAATAATAATAATAATAATAATAATAATAATAAATTATTTATACC